ACCCAGAATCCCCCTGCCAGCACCTTCTTCATGGCCACCAACTCCGTGGGAACATGCAGCCACGCCCACACCCCTTCTCTAACCTGGGCACCCGGGGCCGGGCTAGGCTGTGTCCTTCCCGCACTACACCTGGCCTGCCTGACCGCTCCGCTGGGCACAGGCTCCCCCAGGCAGTTCCATACCCACAGCCAAGTGGCACCTGGGAGAGGGTCTCAGGAGGACAGAACTGCAGGAGCAGAATCAAGGCAGGTTGTTTGGGGGAGGAGGCAGGAGAGGCCTTGACGTTCAAAGGAGGAAGGCAGGAGGCTCTGCTTCCCAAAGGATGCGAGGTGGACCAGTCCGAAAGCCGCCAAAGGGTTCTGACCTGGCAGACCTGACCTCCGGGCCTGCTCTCTGGCACCTCAGTTTTCCCATCTGAACAATGGGAGCTGGTCTAAGTGTTTCCATCTATAACAGATCTTAAGCCTTGCAACCTCCCCCGTCCAGGGTCCCTCCCAGATCCAGGTGTCCAGCGCGGCTTCGTCCCCGGCACTGGGTCCAAGCAGGCTCTTGGGTCAAACTCCCCCAAACTGTTTATAGGGCCAGTCCGCCTCCCGGGCCCCTACGGTCACCCAGCCGAGCCAGGGGGCGGGGCAGACGCTGCCAAATTCATCCCCGGCTTAAATCCAGGCCAATCAGCGTCGAGTTCTGCCTGGGAGCGGGAGGTCGCCGCCGCGGCTCTGCAGGCATGCGCAGCCTCCCGCCCAGGCCTCCGCCCGCCTCGCGTGCGCGCCGCCCGGGGGTGAGGGGGTCGGGGTGGGACACGAACCTTGGTTCCATCCTTAAAGTCAGGCAGCTCCCCTCGGCCCTCCTGGATCACACGCTTTTGGATCCCGTCCTCCCGGAGTCTGGCGATGACATCCGCCATCCTCCTTACCCGCTGCTCTCTTTCGGCAACTTCCGGACTCGCTCGGCAGCTTCCGGACCTGCTTCGGCAACCGCCGGAGCTTCGGCAACTTCCGAGGCGCCGCCATCTTGGCTGAGGGCAGACGCCAGAGAGGGGCGGGACGCGGAAACGGAAGGTGATTGGTTCTCTGCTGGGCAGGGGCGGGGCCTGAGGCGGGGCGTGAACGGAAGTCTGTCCGAGAGGCGGGGTCTGGCCTGCGGGGCCGGGTCTGTGGGGCGGGGCGGGGCGGCTCCTGCAAACAGGTCCTTGAATTGATTAGGCCGCGGCCCGCCCACTTAGCCTTGGGCCGCCCCGTTTAAAGCTGTACAAACAGCCGAAACCGGTGTGATTCTGTGGATAGAGCGTTGGCCTGCGGACTGAAGGGTCCCAGGTTCCATTCTGGTAAAAGGCATGTACCTTGGTTGCGGGCACATCCCCAGTAGGGGGTGTGCAAGAGGCAGCTGGTCGATGTTTCTCTCTCATGGATGTTTCTAACTCTATCCCTCCCTTCCTCTCTGTAAAAAATCAATAATATCAATATATCAATATATCAATATATCAATATATCAATATATATATCTGTACGAACAGTGTAACAGCATTTCAGACCCAGGAGAGGCGGAGAGCGGCGGGGTAGGGGGAGCCTGCTGTAAGGCCAATCCCCAAAACTGTTTTTGTGTATTCCCTTCTGGCTTTTTCTTCTTGCAAGTCTAGCACAATAGTCGCAACTTTTAAATCCTGAATTTTTTTCCTCCTTCAAAAATAAAAAGCAGCCCTAACCAGTTTGGCTCAGTGGATAGAGCATCGGCCTGTGGACTGAAAGGTCCCAGGTTCGATTCCAGTCAAGGGCATGTACCTTGGTTGGGGGCACATCCCCAGTAGAGGCAGCTGATCGATGTTTCTAGCTCTCTAGCTCTCTCCTCTCCTCTCTGTAAAAAAATAAATAAAATATATTTTTAAATAAATAAATAAAAACAAAGAGCAAAACCAGGAGTAAGAAGGGAGGAGGGTTTTGACATCTCTTGGGAAGATCCTGAGAAAGTGCCACGAAGGGCTGGGGTGAGGGGTCTCGTCACCATTGAACCCACATTGTCTGGCAGAGTGGATGCCCAGAGGGTATGAGGTAATACGTGAAGTGACAGACGGCAGGTCCTTTGGGGCTAACACAATGATTCCCTCCCTCCTGCAAGCTAGCTGCGGGCCACGGCTGTGCGAGTCTGCCACTCCCTCCCTGGTTGTCCGCGTGAGAAACGTTCAAACCCTCAGAGAGGTTTTATTAGTTTATTTGAGCCAAACTGAGACAATGGCCAGGAAGCCAAATCTCAGCGAATGGAGAAGATGCTCCCGAAAGTGGCAGTTTCACCACTTGTTTTAGACATCAAAGCCGAGGGGAAGGTGAGCGAGGCAGGGAGGCGGGAGAAAGCAAAGCAGGGAAACCCTGGGTTTGAATAAAGCGTTCGTGTCTTTTACGTGGCTGGACACAGGACGGTGTGCAGTCCACAATAACAAGGAGAGGGTTTGTGGGCTAGCTAGAAAGTTCTCCTTTCAGACCATCCTGTTCGGTCACTTTCAGTTTCTGAGATGGTAAGGCCGCCTGCCTGGCAGCCTCCCTGAGCTTGTCGGGTTGAGTATGTGCCCCTTTCTCGTCCACAAGGTTAGGTCATCACCTCAGAGGAATGCCTTGGGCCCTGTGCACCGCTGCATCGCATCATCACAACTGTGAGGGGTTGTTAGTCCCCTGCGACCAGGTGCTGAGTGCTTCCGGTATTAATGCTGGTTCACCCAGCCTCACCCACCGACTTGTCCCCAAGACCCCCTTTCCTTTGCCTTCTTAGTGAGCAGAGCAGCCCAGCCTAGGCCCATTTCCCCACCGAGTCTCTCTCCGGATGCTTCTCTGTCTCAGATCCTTCCTTGTTTCACTGTCCCCAGCTCTAGTAAACTTCCTCTAAAAATCGCATAGACTCATGAAGTCAAGATCCCACTCACTACCGGCCTGCCCTAGGCAGACCAGCTCAGGCCGGGCCCCCTTTCCGGTAGCAATGTGAGATACTGCCCGCGCCACCTGTCCGTGTGACTCGGCTGAGTGGTGTCCCACGCACTGAAAGGCCCCTGAGCCTCAGTCAGGACTCACAACCCATCAATGTTTCTCTCTCATCAATGTTGCTCCCTCTCTCTCCCTATCCCATCCTCTCAAAAGGAAAAAATTTTTTTAAATGTATTTTAAAAATAGCCGAAACCGGTTTGGCTCAATGGATAGAGTGTCGGCTTGAGGACTGAAGGGTCCCGGGTTCGATTCCGGTCAAGGGCATGTGCCTTGGTTGCGGGCATATCCCCAGTGGGGGGGAGTGCAATAGGCAGCTGATCGATGACTCTCTCTCATCGATGTTTCTAACTCTGTATCTCTCTCCCTTCCTCTCTGTACAAAATCAATAAAATATATTTAAAAAATATATATATGAGGTGCCTAGAGCGGTCACATTCATGGAGAGGAAGCTGAGTGGTGGTTGGCTATGGGGGAGGGGGAAATGAAGAGTTGTTTAAAGCGTAGAGAGTTTCAGTTTTGCAAGATGAAGAGGTGCTGGAGATGGGTTGTACAACAAAGTGTCCTTAACACTGCTGATCTGTGCACTTAAAAACGTGGCTGTGCAAATTTCTTCACACCCTCAGGAGGGCATCCATGGACTCCATGGCCCAGAAGTCCCACTTCCAAGCAGAATTCTCTGACGGTCCATCAGGGGACAATGTGGAGATGTCCATCGCAGTGACGTATGTGAAGTGACGAGGCCGCAGGCCATGCTCAGGGTGCACCAGCTGGTGGGGATGGCGGATAAGAAAAGCGTCAGGTGCTCAGCCTGCAGCCAGAAGCAGCAGGTGGAGAACGTGGGCGTTGAGTGTAGAAATGCACAGCTGTAAACAACAGGATGCGTTTCACACATAGCATTATGCTTGTAAATTGGGAGCACACCCACATAGGAAGCCACGCAGGATTCAAGGACACGGGCTGAGCACTCGGATGGAAGGGAGCAGGGAGGAGGGAAGATGGGGACAGGAAGAAGGAAATGGTTCGTAGTGATGATGTGTCACAAACTGAGAGGCACGCTTGACACAGCTGTGTCAACACAGTAGAGTGGGTGGCCGGGTGGAGGAGAAGGAGCACCCCTGGCGCTAAGGGGACCTGCGTTCAAATACCACGTCTTCCACCTGCAAGCCTTTGGGATGTTAACAAAGCACACATTCATTTCTCCCACAAATGCTTGTTGAGCATGAACTTGGTGCCAAACACTGTTCTGGGCACCACAGACACAGCGGGGATAAAACTATCAGGGCAATGCAAGGTCAGTGCCGTAGGGTGTGAAACCAAAACTGACTGTCGCAGAGAAAGGGATCAGTGCTTTGCAGGCACAGGAACAGCAGGCGCAGACACCCGGGGTAGATAAGCTTGGCCTGCATGGCGGAGGCGGGTGAGGAAGGGCAGAGGGGCTTGGTGAGCCTGGGGGAGGCAGGCGAGACCAGAGCACAGAGCCTGGTGGGCCTCGGCCAGCTCAGATGCTGTTCTAACCGCCAGGGAAGACCAAAGGGTTTTATGCAGAGGAGTGAGTGACTGAGCAGCACACTTGCTTTTGCGCTAAGTTTTATTAGCACACCGAGAGAAGAATCGGCATGATTTTAAAGAACACTTTGGCTGCTGAGTGGAGAGGGGGAGCCACATAAACGCTCAGCCTGTTTGCACAGAGGCCAGGCTGTGAGACAGAGCACCTCGCCCGTGCAGGGCCCTGGTGAGCACGGGTGGGGAACGGCGTCCTGACTCTCCCTGGCACGGAAGGCGCGGCTGGAATGCGAAGGCCGCGTCTGGGGGCCGGTAGCCTGGCGCCTGGAAGGCAGCCCCTCCGAGCCCGCGGCACACACACCCGCCGTTGCTCTCGAAGACGGCCGCTGGGCGGCGCTAGGGCCCAGCGCGGTCCGAGCCAGAGGCTACCCTGCCCGCTCGGCAGCTCGGCGCTCGGCAGCTCGGGCCTGCGAGGGGCGGGGCATAGCGTGAGGGCGGGCGGCGCCCGCTCCCTAGAGGACGGCGCGGGGGCGGGGCCGGGCGCGGGGGCGGGGCCGGGCGCCCGGGGGGCGCGGCGGCGCGGCGCGGCGCGGCGCGGGCGCTGACCGGGGGCCATGAGCGCCGCCCGGGCCCAGTTCAGCATCGACGACGCCTTCGAGCTGTCCCTGGAGGACGCGGGCCCCGGGCCCGAGCCCAGCGGCGTCGCCCGCTTCGGGCCGCTGCACTTCGAACGCCGGGCGCGGTTCGAGGCGGCCGACGAGGACAAGCAGTCCCGGCTGCGCTACCAGGTGACCGGCCCGGCCCTCCGCACCCCCGCCGGCTCCGGCCGGACCCCAGGCCGCTCCCGGAGGACCGGCTCAGGGGGCTCGGCCCGGACGAGAGCCCTGGCCGGAGGGGGAGGCCGGACCCCTTCCCTTCCCCGACGTGGCCGCCGACGGAGAGCCCTGGCCGGACCCTCGGCTCTGGTGCTGGTTCCGGCCACCACGGGGCCCAGAGCCCGGCCGGAGCCCCCTCCCGCCCAGCGCGGGCCGCGCCCACCCGGGCACCGGCTCCCCTCCGCCCTCCCCGGGTGTTGGGACAGGGAGGGGGCGCCTGCGGAACCTGGGCCAGACCTTGTCCACGCCCATGAGCAGCCCCCGGAGGCCCAGGCCCGATGGTCTAACAGGAACCTGCACCCTCTTCTGCTCTAGAAGCCTCCATCCAGCTTTCCCCGGGCGCTGGGCCCCTCCCAGGAGACCTGCCCACACCTTGACCCCCACCGACCTGGGAATCCCGTTTCCCCAGGTGCCCTCCCCCACCCTGGATCCTTTTCGTGGAGACTTGGACCAGATTCTTGTGCCCCAAACCTGGAGACCGCGGCCTGCCCTCCCCTGGCACCCCACATCCAGCGCCTCTGAAATACCATCCATAGTCCCCCGGCCCCCAAACCCGGGCGGGCCCCGAGCCCTGTGCCGGAGCCCCCCCAGCCCCTGCTCCGGCCCCCCAGCCTCCGCTCCCACGCTGCCTGGTTTCGGTCTGATGATTCACAAACCCGTCCTGCTCCGTGGGGAGCAGGGAGGGGCCGGCAGGCCGGCAGCTGTGCGGCTGGCTCTCCTCCCCGCCCGCCCGCCCGCCCGCCCGGGGGACTGGCAGGGCCCCGCAGTGACCTGAGCCCTGTGTCTGGAACAGAACCTGGAGAACGATGAGGGAGGAGCCCCGGTGTCTCCAGAGCCAGACGGGGGCGTGCACACCAGGTCAGGGCCAGGTGGGGACCCGCCCAGACCCCCGCTGCTGGGCCTCTGGCTCCCGTGCAGCCCACCACACTCACTCAGCTCCACACCCTCTCCCACCCTGACCCCCATCCTCCTGGCTTCCCTGTCCTGCAGGGCCGCCCCACCTCCGTGCCAGCCTCACCCACCCACCCCACCAGCCTCTTCATCCTGCGGAAAACCCAGCTTATCTGGCCCCTGCCTTCTCACGGTCACATGACCTGCAGGAATCCCTAGCTTGAACCCCAACCTTCCACCCCAGTCTGCGGAAACCACCAGCCCGTGAATTCCTTTCACCCCATGCCTGCCAGGGCCCCCTTATCCTACAGCAACACCCAGTCCCTCTCCCTCTCCCTCCCCAGCCACGTTATCATGGCTCCTGTCCCAAAGGGGCCCGCCTGGCCTGCCCTCCCCCTCACCGGGCCCCCCATCCTGCAGGGATGCTGGCTGCCGAGCATCCTCCGTCCGCAGCTCCCAGTGGTCCTTCAGCACCATCAGCAACGGCACCCAGCGCTCCTACAACGCCTGCTGCAGGTGAGCCACCACGCAGGCGGGTGCAGACAGCCCTCCGGTCAGGGAGGGCGGCTCAGTGGGTGGCCCCGTCACCGCCTTCACCCTGTCTGCTCTCCCGCTCCCAGCTGGACGCAGCACCCTCTGATCCAGAAGAACCGCAGGGTAGTGCTGGCCTCCTTCCTGCTGCTGCTGCTGGGGCTGGGTGAGTGTCCCCACGCCGGAGGCCGCCTCCTCGGAGGCTCTGCACCCTCCCCCATTCCACAGAGGCAGGCCCGCCTCCTGACCGCACGGCCAGGAAGGCACAGGAAGTTGAAAGTGGAACCTTGTTCTGAGTTCCAAACTGTATTCTCTAATGTAGCCTGTTTCACCCATTTTCTGTGTGTCTGCTTCGCGCCCGGTGCCGGCGGGTTTCTCTCGCTCACTCACCGAGGTCAGACGGCAATGAAGAGGCAGAGCCCCCTGCCCAGGGAGATGCCCGTTCTCGTGGGCCAGGGATGCTGAGCGCCCGCCAGCCGGGTCCACAGGGCACCTGTCACTCACAGCGCTCCGCCCTCTCTGCCACCTGCTCCCCCATTGCTCAGACGGAGAACGGAGGCCCAGAGCAGCAGTCTCCCAGCCAGATGCGTCCTGACTCCACACTCTTCACTCGATGGGGCTGAGGAGTCAGGGTCCCCGGGAAGGTCCCAGGGTTGGGATCGAGAGGGGCCCTCAGGAGGCCCCGCTGTGACAGGTGCCCGCCCTCCTCCAGGAGGTCACGTGCCGCCTCCCGCCTCAGCATCCCTGGCCCACGAGATGTCTGCCAGGTGTCTGCCAGGGGAGCAGCCACGCCTCTCCGATCCCCACACACACAGCTGGTCACACCGGCCGCCTGCTCACCTCACTCCATCCTCCAGCACCCGCAGGGCGAGCGCGGTGATCAGCCAGAAAGGAGGACACAGGCTCGGGCAGGCCAAGGGACTCTCTGGTCACGGCTAAGGCGCAGATGAGCTGGGATTTAACCCACATTAATGCGTCGCCAGGCCTGACCTTCCCAGAAAGGGCCTCTCTAGGAATTAGAAGAAGCGGCCTCCTCTGAGCGGGCAGAGCCCACAGCCTGAAGCCAGGGTTCGGGGCGTGAGTTCCAGCCCCCACTGGGGCCTTTGTGAGGGGCTCTCGTACAGGCACAAACCCCAGAACAGCTCAGAGAGGCCCCTCCGGTCTCTGCTGTGCTGTACCCCCACCCACTGCGCAGAGCCCAGCTCCCCACCCTCCCCGCCCCATCCTGTGCCCGGGGCCCGGACTCGCTGTGGGTCCAGCCTGACCTCTCCACCTTCCCCGCGCCCACTGTCCTCGGCCAGAGCCCACGGTTTCCCCGGCCTCCAGCCTGGCTCTGTCTCTGCACTCTCACCCAGAGCCATCGCTCCTGGACAGCCCCGCTCCCTCCGCTGTCCCTCCGCCTGGACACTCCTTTCCCGCTCCGCCCGCGGGGCACCGAGCAGCAGCCTAGTCAGAAGGCACTGCCTGCCAGGCGCAGCTGGAGTTCCTTTCCCCTCTGCCTCAGCTTCCTCTTCTGAGACACGGGGTAATGAACGCCTCACTCGGTCCAGGTGGCAAAGTATGCGTGTGACACGCTTAGCCAGTGTCTGGCAGCAGCTGGTAGTGTCTGCTCAGTGTCAACCCTATGGCTCCTGCTGCCCTGCTCAGCTCGGCGCCACTGCCTCCAGGAGCTCCCCCTGGACCCCAGGCTGCAGGCTGTCCGGTCTGACCAGCTACATCCTAACCACTGGCAGGAGCTTGGAGGTTCTTGCTGGTTGCTCTGCTAGGGAAGGGCCACGCGGGCCGAGACCTCATCTGCCTCCCCCTGCAGCCCCAGGGATCCCGATACCAAGGGCTCCCTGAATGTGTGTTGACTGACGCACAGATCGCACCAGGAGCAGATAGAAGTCTCTCCTTACAGACACGGCCGAGGCCTGCGGGGCCCTCGCTCTGAGCTGCCCGGGAACCTGCGGCTCAGGTGGGGGAGCCCCAGTCCTCGGGCCTAAGCCGTGCGGGGGCTGCGGGGGGCGGCCCCAGCCCCTGCCCCGCACCCCCCTCACCCTTGGGCCCGTCTGTGTGCAGCGCTGATCCTGGCCGGCGTGGGACTGGAGGTGGCCCCCTCGCCAGGTGAGCCCCCGCCTCCAGGCCGCGCTCGCTCCTCCGGTGCCCGGCGATCCCGGGAGCCCTCTGCCCTCCCATCGCCGCCTCCCTCCCGGCCAGCCCTGACCTGCCCCTCCTCTCCTCCCGAAGGCGTCTCCAGCGCCATCTTCTTCGTCCCTGGCTTCCTGCTGCTGGTCCCGGGAGGTGAGCCCGCGGGCGGGGCCCGCGCGAGGGGCGGGGCCTGGGCGAGGGGCGGGGCGGGGCCTGGGTTGATGGGCGGGACGCGAAGGGCGGGGCATGAGGGAGGGGCGGGGCCGGGGCGGGGCCTGGGTTGATGGGCGGGACGCGAGGGGCGGGGCATGGGCGGGGCCTGAGGGCGCTCAGCGCTGGTTGGCCCCGCCCCGCAGTCTACCACGTGATCTTCATCTGCTGCGCCGTGCGGGGCCGCCGCGGCTTCCAGTTCTTCCACCTGCCCTACTTCGAGAAGTGAGCGCGCCGGCGCCGCGGCCCGGCGGCCTCCCGTCCCCAGGGGGCGCTGCGGCCTCTGTCCGCCCGGGTTCGCTCAGGAAGCGGGGCCTGCCGGCCCGGGCCCACGGCCTGCGCCTGGGGGCGCCCTGTGCCGCTCTGTGCCTTACTGACCCTCAGGCCCGGGGACGCCGAGCGGGGGGTGCGCTAATAAAGGGGTTTTACATCCGGGAGAGCACGCTCCTTCCTTCCGCCTGCCGGCCGTGCGCCTGGGCAGAGCTGGTCCTCGGGCTTTCCCCCCCGAAAGCCCGGGAGCCTCTGCCAGCCCCCCCACTGCCCGCCCTGCCCCTGTGCCTCGGTGGGGGCGGCATTGGGTCCCGTCCCGGCCAAGGGCACTCCGCTGACGCAGCCTGGGGCCTGGAGGCCGCTCTCCCGGTCCCAGTCCGGCTCCGGGGCCCTGGGCTGCACCGCCAGCTCCGAATGTGGGCCACGGCCAGGCCGCGGCCAGCCCACCCCACCCACTGCCCTACTTCCCAGGCCAGGGGCTGGGAGAAACAGGAGACGGGACACGGATGCCTCAGGGACCAAAGACTCTCAGAGCCACAGAACATTGGGAACAGACCATCTCAGGGTTTTGAAAAACCCAAATATCTCAGAATCTTAAGATCAAGCAAACAAAATCTTTTGAGAACCCTGGAATCTGAGGGCATAATAGCTACCACTTATCAAACTCTCAGAAGGCACCGGACCTGTGCTGAGCACTGCCCACAGGTTATTTCTGGTCCTCACTCCCTCAGCCCCGTTTTACAGACGGAAAGACCCAGAGGGGACTCACCCCAGGGCAGTTAGGGTCATAGCCAGGGTTCCTGACACCGTGGGGCAGGCAGGGCACTGGGCGGGCGGTCACCAGCTGGCCAGCCTCAGGGCTGGGTGGACACTGAGCTGAGGAGACCCTGCTTGTGTGATGCCCTGGTTACGGCCTGTGTCCCAGGAACACGGGGGTGCCATCCAGGGCTTGGGCTTGGTCTAACGTCCACTACGGGTGCAGCAGCCAGAACCGTGCCTTTGGATTTCTGTGACTTAAAAAACAAAACAAAACAAGAAAAAAACCTCCAGACGCCTGCTCTCGCTCCCGTTCTCCTGGCCCACCCACACTCCCAACCTGCGGCCAGGACGCTTCTGGAGCACCACTCAGGAGCTCCTGAGCCACCGGCTCTCAAACTACTGAAATGAAAAGCGATTTTCATTTCTGATTTTGTCACGAATCAATACTTGAAGATAAAATAAAAACTAGAAAAGTGAAATAAAAAACAGAATCAAGCCAAAAGTTGGTATTACCAAATCAATCAGACATAAAATTACATTTCAATGAATAACATCAGAACAAACATGGAACAAAAGAAAAAACACAAAAACCATTCATTGAAAGTAAGCAACCCTGTGCTCCCAACTTTCTGCTATTCCACAACCTTAGCAGAGTTATTGCAGAAACGGTGATTTTCCAAATCACAAGACTCGGGAGCCAGCAAGCTGGAGTCCGAGGGCCCAGCAGAGCCTCTGAGCTAAGAAGGGTTCCCACATTTTTATAACAGTTGGGAAAAGTCAAAGAATAGTCATATAAGATTTTGAGCTCATAAAAAGTTATAAAATTCAAACTTCAGTATCAATAAATCAAATTTAATTGATTCTTTATTGAAGTTCCAGTACAGCCTCACCCACTTGTTTATGTGTGGACTCTGGCTGCTTGGCAACACAGACCACAAAGCAGAGCGAGCAGATACAGCAGAAAATGTGGTCCTCAGCCTCAAATCCGGACAACCCAGCCCTTTACAGAAAACATATGCCACCCCTGCAGCGATAGGAACCCTTTGACAGACACCAAGTCAAACATTTAAAGTTTTCATGTAGCCGTGGCTGGTGTTGCCCAGTGGTTAGAGTGTCCACCTGAGAACCAAAGGGTCACGTGTTCCAAGGGCATGTACCTGGGTTGCAGGTTCAATCCCTGGCCCATGTCAGCGTGCATGGGGGAGGCAACCAGTTAACGTGTCTCACTTACATGGATGTCTCTCTGTCTCCCCTCTCCTCCCTCCCTTCCACTCTCTCTGAAAAGAGACGGGAAAAGTATCCTCAGGTGAGGATTAACGACAACAACAACAACAAAATGGAAGCCTGCCCTCCCGCCTTCCATGTTGTTCTGCCTATTGTTTCAGTCCCTATTGTTTTTAAAATCCCCCCAAATGAAAATTTTAAAGTAAATGCTTCTTTAAATCCACCCATATGTTTACTGGTGTCTTTCCTGATTGTTATTTTTTCCCCTTTAAATTTCTTTATTGATTAAGGTGTTACATATGTGCCCTTACCCCCCAATACTCCCGCACACACACACTCATGCCCTCACCCCCTGGTGTCTGTGTCCGCTGGCTAGGCCCATATGCATGCACACAAGTCCTTTGGCTGCTCTCTCCCTCCCCCACCCTCCCCTGCCTTCCCTGCGGGTTGCGGTCTGATCGGTGCTTCTGTCTCGGTTCTGTTTCTGCCCATCAGTGTGTGCTGCTCATTACTGACGGTCGGTACCTCCTCTGCCTGCACTCGGGACTGACCTTCCAGCTCACGGAAGCCGTCCCTTCGCTGTGGGTGCGTGGCTGGGGGCCCTTTCGCTTTCCTTTTGTATTCTGCAGTTCCACCGAGGCAGCTAGATATAACTTTTTTTTTTTTTTTTTAGAAGATAAAGGATCTGTGTTTATTTCCAGGGAGATACACATTTAATTTTATTTATTCTTCTCTGGGCCAATGTGCTCCTTCAGGCTGGGCACTGTCTTTGTGGAAAAACGTTAATTCTCTGAATATTGCTTCATGCCCTTCTCTATATTCTCTCCTCTGAGACTCCTCAGGGACTTGTCATTTCCCTTTAATTTTTTTAAAATATATTTTATTGATTTTGTACAGAGAGGAAGGGAGAGAGAGAGCTAGAAACATTGATGAGAGAGAGTCATCGATCAGCTGCCTCTTGCACACCCCCTACTGGGGATATGCCCGCAACCAAGGTACATGCCCTTGACTGGAATTGAACCCGGGACCCTTCAGTCCCCAAGCCGACGCTCTATCCACTGAGCCAAACCGGTTTCGGCCCCTTTAATTTTTCTCCATCTGCTACCTGAGGGGTGATTTCTCAGGGAGTGGCTTCCAGTTCACTAATCCTCTCTCATCTGTTTCTAATCTGCGGTTTAACTTGTTAATATCTTTTCATTCCATTGGCTGTATCCTTTATTTTCAGGAGTTCTGTTGTTGGCTTTGGAATCTCCCTGTTCAGTTTTAACACTACCCTGTTGCTGCATATTGGTCTCTTCCTTCTTTTATCTCCATGCTAGAGGCTCGGGGCAGGAAATCCATGCGAGCCTGTGGTCCCTAGGCCTGGCCGGGATTGAAGCCGAGCGACGCGTGAAGGGCAGGTCCCGCTGACCTCTGGGCCTGGACAGCACCGGGGTCAGCTTCAGAAGTGACGCGTGTGTGTGTGAGAGAGAGAGAGTGTGTGTGTGTGAATGTGTGTGTGTGTTTGTGTGTGTGTGTGTGTGTGTGTGTGAGTGTTTGTGTGTGTGTGGGTGTGTGTGTGAGTGTGTGTGAGTGTGTGTGTGTGTGTGAATGTGTGTGAGTGTGTGTGTTTGTGTGTGAGTGTGTGTGTGAGTGTGTGTATAGTGTGTGTGTGAGTGTGTGTGAGTGTGTGAGTGTGTGTGAGTGTGTGTGTGAGTGTTTGTGTGTGTATGTGTGTGTGTGTGAGTGTGTGTGAGTGTTTGTGTGTGAGTGTGTGTGAGTGTGTGTGAGTGTTTGTGTGTGTATGTGTGTATGTGTGTGTGTGAGTGTGTGTGAGTGTGTGTGTGTGAATGTGTGTGTGTGTGTGTGTTTGTGTGTGAGTGTGTGTGTGTGTGAGTGTGTGTATAGTGTGTGTGAGTGTGTGTGTGAGTGTTTGTGTGTGTATGTGTGTGTGTGTGTATGTGTGTGTGAGAGTGTTTGTGTATTTGTGTATGTGAGTGTGGTGAGTGTGTATGTGTGTGTGTGTGTGTGTGTGTGTGTTTGAGTCCTCTGTGCCTGGGTGGAAAGTGTGCCCTTTTCAGCAACTTCTCTCCTATTTCTTCAGCTTTTCATGCCATGGGGACAGACCACACACACACACACACACACATACACACTCACCACACTCACATCCTGCTTGACGTGCAGGCCTGGGTTCTGGGCTCCCTAGGGTAACTGGCCCCCTCAAGGCCCTGGACATCTGTACCCCTGCTAACTCCTCCCCCAAAGCTGCCCTGCTCTTTTTAATCCTCACCCGAAGATAGGCGAATTTAGAGAGGGAGGCTTTAAAGAGGGAGAAGAGGGATAGAGAGAAACACGGACGTGAGAGGGAACCCCAATTGGTCCCCTTCCTGACCGAGAATGGAACCCACAACTAGCTGTGTGACCGATTGGGAATTGAACTCGCAACCTTTCCATATGAGGGGCAAAGCTCTAACCACTGAGCAACAACTGCTGGGGCAAAACTGCCCCATTTCTTTTTTTCTTTTTAAAATATATTTTATTGATTTTTACAGAGAGGAAGGGAGAGAGATATGAGAGAGTCATCAATCAGCTGCCTCTTGCACACCCCCTACTGGAGATGTGCCCGCAACCAAGGTACATGCCCTTGACCGGAATCGAACCCGGGACCTTTCAGTCCACAGGCCGACGCTCTATCCACTGAGCCAAACCGGTTTTGGCAAAACTGCCCCATTTCTTAATGCTGCCGTGCCAGGTAGCACCCTACCTGCCGAGGGCCCGAGAGACCCAATCATGCTCCCCCTGGGAGTGACAGGCAGCTGAGCGGGGCTTTCTCTGAGCGCCGGGAGGGGGAAGGGGGTGCGGAGGGGGCAGGTGCTGCCAGAGCAGAAGCCTGAGGTCTCTCCCCTCCCGGCCGCAGGGGAGGGTGTGCAGAATGCACCCTGCTGCTCCGGGGCCTCAGCGGGGGAAAAGCATCAGCACAAACTCTGCAGGAGAGATGGCCCGGCCGGTCAGGGTCCCAGGAGGCACTGGGCTCGGCCTGGGCGCTGGAGGGGTGGGGAGCACCCAGGGGTGGGGAGCACCCAGGGGTGGGGGAACACCCAGGGGTGGGGGGAGCACCCAGGGGTGGGGAGCACCCAGGGGTGGGGGAGCACCTAGGGGTGGGGGGAACACCCAGGGGTGGGGAGCACCCAGGGGTGGGGGGAGCACCCAGGGGTGGGGGAACACCCAGGGGTGGGGGGAGCACACAGGGGTGGGGGGAGCACCCAGGGGTGGGGGAACACCCAGGGGTGGGGGGAGCACCCAGGGGTGGGGAGCACCCAGGGGTGGGGGAGCACCCAGGGGTGGGGGAAGCACCCAGGGGTGGGGGAAGCACCCAGGGGTGGGGAGCACCCCTACCATCAAAGTCTACCGTGCTGTCCCCGTTGAGGTCCACGTTGTGGAGCATCTCGTCCAGCTCCGGGTCCGCCAGCGGCTCCCCCAGCAGAGCGGGTGCTGCCTGCCGCAGCTCCGCCACCGTGATCCGTCCGTCCCCGTCCCTGTCGAACTGGGTGCCGGCGTGCTCAGCCCCTCCCCCCACAGCCCTTCCCCCACAGCCCCTCCCCCACACCCCTCCCCCTCAGCCCCTCCCCACAGCCCCTCCCCCACAGCCCCTCCCCCACAGCCCCTCCCCACACCCCTCCCCCACACCCCCTCCCCCACACCCCTCCCCCACAGCCCCTCCTCCACAGCCCCTCCTCCCACAGCCCCTCCTCCCCAGCCCCTCCCCACAGCCCCTCCCCCACGGCCCCCCCCCCCTCAGCCCCTCCCCACAGCCCCTCCCCACAGCCCCTCCCCCCTCAGCCCCTCCCCACAGCCCCTCCCCCTCAGCCCCTCCCCACAGCCCCTCCCCCCTCAGCCCCTCCCCACAGCCCTTCCCCCTCAGCCCCTCCCCACAGCCCCTCCCCCACAGCCCCTCTCCCACAGCCCCTCCCCACAGCCCTTCCCCCACAGCCCCTCCCCCACACCCCTCCCCCTCAGCCCCTCCCCCACAGCCCATCCCCCACAGCCCCTCCCCACACCCCCTCCCCCACACCCCCTCCCCCACACCCCCTCCCCCACAGCCCCTCCTCCACGGCCCCTCCTCCCACAGCCCCTCCCCCACAGCCCCTCCCCACAGCCCCTCCCCCACAGCCCCTCCCCCCAGCCCCTCCCCCCACAGCCCCTCCCCCACAGCCCCTCCCCACAGCCCCTCCCCCACAGCCCCTCCCCACAGCCCCTCCCCACAGCCCCTCCCCCTCAGCCCCTCCCCCACGGCCCCTCCTCCCACAGCCCCTCCCCCACAGCCCCTCCCCCACAGCCCCTCCCCCACAGCCCCTCCCCACACCCCCTCCCCCACAGCCCCCCCCCCACAGCCCCTCCCCCACAGCCCCTCCCCCCACAGCCCTTCCCCCACAGCCCCTCCCCACAGCCCCTCCCACACAGCCCCTCCCACACAGCCCCTCCCACACAGCCCCTCCCACACAGCCCCTCCCCCCACAGCCCCTCCCCACAGCCCCTCCCCACAGCCCCTCCCCCTCAGCCCCTCCCCACAGCCCCTCCCCCCACAGTTCCTCCCCCACAGCCCCTCCCCCACAGCCCCTCCCACAGCCCCTCCCCCCTCAGCCCCTCCCCCCACAGTTCCTCCCCCACAGCCCCTCCCCCACAGCCACTCCCCACAGCCCCTCCCCCCACAGCCCCTCCCCCACAGCCCCTCCCCACAGCCCTCCCCACAGCCCCTCCCCCCTCAGCCCCTCCCCCCACAGTTCCTCCCCCACAGCCCCCCCCCCACAGCCACTCCCCACAGCCCCTCCCCCCACAGCCCCTCCCCCACAGCCCCTCCCACACAGCCCCTCCCCCACAGCCCCTCCCCCACAGCCCCTCCCCCATTCCCACGTCTCTGCTCGCCACCTCCCTCCCGTCGTCCGCCCCCTCCTGCTCCAGGAGGCCTCCCAGAGGGGACCCCCAGCGGGTGAGCCACGTCCTCCACCCTCCCTGCCCTGGTTGCCCCTCTGCGGGCCCGGGGCCCCTGGGCTGAGCCCGCCTGGCCTGGGTGGGAGACCCATAAGACGTCTTCACCTCCCACGCACCAGCACGCACCTCTCAACCCTCACCCCTCACCTCTCACCCCTCACCCCTCACCCCTCACCCCTCACCCCTCACCTCTCAACCCTCACCCCTCACCTCTCACCTCTCACCCCTCACCTCTCACCCCTCACCCCTCACCCCTCACCTCTCAACCCTCACCCCTCACCCCTCACCTCTCACCCCTCACCCCTCACCCCTCACCTCTCACCTCTCACCCCTCACCCCTCACCCCTCACCTCTCACCCCTCACCCCTCACCTCTCACCTCTCACCCTTCACCCCTCACCCCTCACCCCTCACCCTTCACACCTCACCTCTCACCCTTCACCCCTCACCTCTCACCCCTCACCCCTCACCCCTCACCCCTCACCCCTCACCTCTCACCCCTCACCCCTCACCCCTCACCCCTCACCTCTCTCCCCTCACCTCTCACCTCTCACCCCTCACCCCTCACCTCTCTCCCCTCACCTCTCACCTCTCACCCCTCACCCCTCACCTCTCACCCCTCACCTCTCGGAAGGCGATGCGCAGCTCCCGCACCCCCAGCATGTGGGCCGTCTCCTCCCGCAGCTTCGGGCCCATCAGCTCCACAAACTCCTCGAAGTCCATGCGGCCGCCCACTGCGGACCGAGCGCAGTGTCACCGGGGCCGGGGCTGGGGCAGGAGGCCAGTCCCCGGCTCTCCGGCCCCCGGCACCCATACTGTCCGCCCCGCCCGGCCCCGGCCCCGGCTCTGCAGCCGCCGTGTGGCCTCCGGCCTGGCTCAGTGCCCCCGCACCAGCGGGCGGCGGGAGCTCGGGGCCTTCCCGGCGCGGCCCCTGTGGGCACCGCAAATGCCCAAAGAAATGCACGTGGCGCCCTCGCTCTGAGGCGCCATCGATCATAAACACA